CTTACTAGCATCACATTCATCATATCTTTCAATGTGCGATTCTTTCGTTCGGCAACACCGTTTGATTGAGGTGAATAGGGTGCGGTACGTTCATGTACTATACCCACGCTAGCGCAAAAGTCACCAATTGGTGCTTCATACTCACCACCTCGATCACTTCTAACCGTTTTAATTTGTCGATTAAGTTGGTTTTCCACTTCATTCTTATAAAGAATGAATTTATCGATTGCTTCGTGTTTATTTTTTAATAAATAAACGTAGCTATAACGAGTGCTATCATCGATAAAGGTAATAAAATATTTATTACCGCCACGTGTTTATATTGATTTAAAATCACAAACGTCACTATGAATTAATTCAAGTTGTTCCGTTTTTCTTTCAACCGATTTGAAAGACGTTGTCGTTAGTTTTGTCTCTACACAAGCTTCATATTTGTGCTTCACATCAATTGTGAATTTAGGAATGTGCTCCATGTTAATTAATCTACGTATAGAATTAAAATTAACATGTCCTAGTCTACCATGCCACACATTGGAAGACTCAAGCAAGTAAGCAGAAGGGATTTTATTATTATTATTATTATTATTATTATTATTATTATTATTATCATTATCATTATCATTATCATTATCATTATCATTATCATTATCATTATCATTATTATTATTATTATTATTATTATTATAATAATAACCCATCACATGTATACCCCTTGCCCACATACATTCTCGACTTAGACAAAACTAGTTTGTCCGACTCAAAGACCATGCGGAAGCCATGCTTTTTCAACAACGAGCCGGAGATCAGGTTTTTGCGTATCTCCGGAATGAACAACACTTGGTTGAGAGTTAGCTCCTTGCCCGAAGTCATCTTCAGGACCACCTTGCTCACGCCTTCAACCGCGGAATGAGCCGAGTTTCCCATCCACACCTTCTCACCATTTGATGGCTCAAAAGTAGTGAATAACTCCCGATTTGAGCAAATATGTCGGGTTGCACCGGTGTCCACGAACCACTCCTTGGAATTGGATCCAACAAGGTTGACCTCGGTCACCACAGCCGCAAGGATGATGTCTTCATCCTTTTGCCCATCTTGCACCAAGTTGACTTGAGAGTCCCTCTTCTTCTTGAGTGCCTTGCAATCCGCGGACTTGTGTCCGTTTTTATTGCAATTGAAGCATTTTTCGTTGAACTTTGTCTTGGAAACGCCTCCCTTGGGACCAAGCTTGCTCTTCCCGTTATTTTTATTTTTGGAGCCTTTTGCATGCTCCACCACGTTGGCCTTGGCGCCGTTAACGATTGGGAGTTTCCCATCGTTCTTTCGGTTATCCTCTTCAATCCGCAGACGGAGGATCAATTGCTCCAAGTTCATTTCCTTTCGCTTATGCCTAAGGTAGTTCTTGAAATCCTTCCAAGCCGGCGGCAATAAAGGGAAAGACTCACTAACTGTCATTCCTTCATCTCGAATTTCATTGAAGATCATTTGTATTTCCTCAACTTTACTCAAGACCGTCTTCGAATCCACCATTTTAAAATCAAGGAATCGGCCGACAACAAATTTCTTTGCGCCGGCATCCTCGCTCTTATATTTGTGGTCCAAAGCATTCCATAGCCCCTTAGCCGTAGCTAATTTGCTATACACATTACAAAGCATCATGCAGCCCGTTCAACACGTAGTTTCGGCAAAGGAAGTCAGAATGCTTCCAAGCTTTAACCGCGTTATAAGATTGCGCATCCACCTCACCCCCGGTAGCTACCGGTGCATCTTCGATCAAGAACCTAGCAAGACCAAGAGTAGTGAGGTAAAATAGCATCTTTTGCTGCTACCTCTTGAAGTTTAACCCGTTAAATTTTTCGGGTTTCTCCACAGAGTTGCTCGGCACGGTACACCATAGGGATTGCCACTTGGTTGCCCAAAGTAGATGCACCGCGTTGTGAACCATTGTTCACCGGAGCTCCACTTTCAGAGTGATTATCGTTTGGCACGTTCTGCCCACCAACATTTCCAGTTTCTCGTGAAGCCATTTTAACGTTTTCTTACGTTTTCCGAAAACACAAAAAAAAATAAGTTCGTTCACCAAAGTGACAAACTACGATTTAAGATTGTATCCGTGTGATACAAGCTTGAAAAAATACGTTTTAAGATTGTTTGGTGTGTCTCGGAAAAACGAAGAAATATTAATTAATAAAAATAATTAATTAATTTAAATAGCTAAAGAAAACCAGAAATAAGATGGAATAGAGTTTAGCCAGAGCTCGTGCTACGCATGATGTCCTTAAAACGTATTCATCGCCTCCCACGGTGCTAGGAGCGTTGCAATGACCCTTTCCCAGGATACGGTGGCTAACGAACTAACGTTTGAGCACACAAACGAGAGTTCTGGCGAACGGGAACAAGGACTGAACACTCAGGAAATTTTCAGAGAGTTGAAGGTGTTTTTGAGAGCTAAAATACGTGTATGATTGCTTGTGAACGTGTGTTTGTTGCAAACCACATGGCAGCTATTTGTAGGAGAATTTGTTGTGTGTTAACCGAGCTTTAATGGACCTGAACGTTGGACATCAATGACCAGTCCGTTGGGCATTGAATCGTCCAAAAACTGTCCATTTAACGCAACATTAAAGGATAAAAACGTTGGGCATTTAATGGATGTAACGCGTGGAGCAGTTCTGGTGCGAACATAAGAGGAGCGGTTCCAGAACTCGAGCACCTCGTGTGCGCGGGCGACCTGCGGACACGAATGTCGTCCGAAAAATCCCTTGAATTTTCCGGTGTGGTATAAAATTCACTAGGAACCCATCATTTTTCCAGTTTTTCCATTTCAACAAGTGAACTTCGAGAATCAATTTATCATTCACCCGTTATCCGTTTTGAGTGTACCACATATCAAATTGTAGCCCTTAACAAGGACAATCCGAAACCACTTTGACCCGACCCAAATTGGAAGTGGAACCCACTCAAATAATTGCCCCAAAATGACCATTTAATGCAATTTTTAACACATTTTCCCAACACTACCAGCATCATTTTATAATTTTTCATTCTACAAATGTGACTCCGATTCCAGTTTTCACCACATTTAAAACATAACCCTTTCTTACTTCTTTCTTGCAGCTCATTCTGTGATAATCTGGGGATTGTATTCTTAGAAACAGAACTTGATCCTTCTTCCATCTTCTTATTATCAGCTGAGTTCTTCATTAATTGATTTGTAGATGTCAGATTATAACTACTTCAACTACCATCTCTCCATTTATGATAGCTCTGTCCACCTGCTGAATTTATTTTCAGGATCTTCTTTCCCTCATCTTTATTCTTTATGATGTTGGCTTCATGGTTCTTGTTTTCAATCAAGGAAGTTGTGTCCATGACAGCAGCTAGGGTTCTTGTAGGATATAATTTCAATTCAGCCCTTATATCTCGTTTCAACCCATTGAGGAACACTCCTCTAAGTACCTCCTCAGTCAGATGCCCATGCGAAGCTATAACAACTTCAAATTTATGTTTGTACTCCTTCACTGTCCCTTTTTGCTTCAAACTAAACAAAGATCCCAGAGGATCCTGCACCAAATCTGGTTGAAAATGTTTGCTTAGATCCTTCGTAAAACTCTCCCAAGTCTGGTGATGAGCCTGGCCTTCCCACCATTGGAACCAGCTCAGTGCCTGGTCTTCCATGACTATCACGGCAACATCAATTTTGTCTTCTTCCTCCGTATGATTCAGGCATAAATAACGATTCATTCTTACCAGCCATCCAAGAGTATCTTCTCCCTTAAAAATCGGCAAATCAATTTTTCTTCCCGTTTGGTGGTGGTGATCATGTCCTTTGTGGCGATGGTGGCGGCGGTGCGGTGGTGAATGGTTGTCATTCCCTTCCGAGTCCTCAGAACTCGCTGAGTGTCGCGACTGATGATGGTGAGAAGTACGATGAGATGGAGATGATCGATGCGACGTATTCGAATGGTGCAAATGGTTTCGCGATCGTTCAGAAATTCTGAACTGCAACTCTGCGATGATAGCTTGCATCGCCGCCTGCATCGCGGATGACGTGCACTTTGTCACGGTGCATCAAAATAATATTCAATACTAACACTTATATGTAGTATAGCGTAGTAGAGTTCGTATCCACATAGAAAGGAATATTCTTCTTTTTATGAACTTAGTAAATAAAGGGGGAGTTTTAGGTCTGAATGATTTAGTTTAATTAAAAACTAAGATGAATGACTTATATGAGATTTAATTCAAGAATAAAAGGAACTTGGCATTGGTACTTTCCACTTGTTGATATATTTTAGTCGATCATTGTTATATCTATAACTTATTCCCCCTCGAATACTCAATCGAGGAGTATATCCAATTCATCGAGGGTAGTTATTAACAACAACCATTCATTAGTAATCCTTACTATTAGTCAAATATAGAACACCGCCATATACCGACTTGATAGTAGCATTTAACCTCTTAACTCCTTGATGAAATCAATTGAGATTGATAACCTCAACACAACGGTTTCGGTTTAATCAACAAAATTAATCCCTCTTAAGTTTATCAACCACGACAGTGCATTAATAAACCGAAGTTACTTACTTGTGAAACCATCAACGATTAACTATCGGTTCATCGATCGTTTCTAGTAGTAATTAATATATGAAACAAAACTAGTTGATCCTTTAAGTAATGTTCAAAATATTAATATGAAATATGAGTAGGAATTAATTAATATCCAAGGAAGAATATTATTAAAGGAGAAGAATCCTACTATAATTAATATCAAGATGTTAACTAATTGTCATTTTAGCAACACTCCCTAATATTAATATAGAGGAAGAAAATACTACTCTAACTAATGTCAAGATGTTAACTAATTGTCATTTTAGCAACACTCCCCAACATTAATATAGAGATAGTATTAAGTAAAAAACTAATAATTAATATTCAAGGGAAGAAATTAAGAAAATAACTCACAACTTTAATAATCAACAAGCTTCAAGAGCAACACCAAGAATTGGAAGTTTAGCTCCTCATTTGGAGACTAAACATAGCTAGAAAAATATAAAGAGATGCTATTCTAAACTGAGCTTAAGAGTATGGAAGAAGAGATGCTTTTTAGAGTAGAAAAAGTGTGCTATTTATAGGTGTTTTTCAACACCTTTGGCCGGGTACCCGACCGGGTATAGTACTTACCCGACCGGGTCCGGCCAAAATAAGATATCCTCCACGTTCTTGTGATCTTTAGCACGTTGTTTTGTCTCGGGTCACATCTGACCCGACCGGGTCAAGTAGGAGAACCGACCGGGTCCAGTGATTTTCCAGGCAATTTCGTCTGTTAAATCATACCCGACCGGGTCAAGTGTCATACCCGGTCGGGTTTTAGCTCCTGGACAGTCCAACCTCCTTTTTCTTCACTTCAAAGTCCTCCTTTTCAACACCATGATTCCTAATTCTAGTTTACAACTTACAAAAGAAGATTAAAATACAATTACAACTAAAATCACACTAATGTTTATAAACTAAATAAAACGATAAACAATCAAACAAATTCAACATAAAAACATACACTTAAGCACTACTAATTAGCGCATATCAGCGGCCATACTTGTTGCTATATTCGCCGCCATGTTATCAAAACTAGCTTGCATTCGCGTTGATTTCTTCCTACTTCCGTTAAATTCCTCTCAACTTCATTGATTCTTCCATCCATCTTCGCGCGCGTGTATCTCATCCTGCGACCGACGCGCTCTGATACCAATGATAGGACTAACCAATTTTACAAAAAATTCACAAAAAAATATCAAGAACAAAAACGGTAAACTTTATTGATGAAGACAATAGCTGTGGCCGAAGCCCCCAAATGAGCCGAAGCCCCCCAAAAGAGAGAGTAATCTCAATCTTTCCAGTAAAGACTTAAACAGTCAACAACAGCCTACTTTACTTCTCCCCGCTTATTCTATTTATACTAATCTAGTACACTTATTATTATTCTTGGTCTATTAGGCCCAATTCCTAACAGTCTATTAGGCCCAATTCCTAACAGAGATGATGGAAGAAAAGCGAGACTACGACTTGGCTGTGAACGTGGTGGGACTTACACAATTCCTAAGAAACTAATTAACAAGGAGGCACGACGTCGCAAAGGGACATGAACTAAAAAAAATGGGTGATCATTTAAGTTGCAGGGAGTGAAATTAGAAATGTACGATGATTGGAAAGTAAAAATTCAGTGTGGATATCATAATCATCCACCTGCAGAAAATCTTGAGGATCACTCTTTTACCGGGAGATTAAGTAAAGAGGAGGACACCATACTATTAGATATGATGAAAAATATGGTCAAACCAAGAAACATACTTGTAACTATAAAAGCGAAGAACAAAAAAACACAACTACAATGAAGACAATATATAATGCTCGTCACAAACATAAAATGCTTGAGAAAGCTGGAAGATCACAAATGCAGCAACTTATGAAAAGATTGAGTGATTTTGGCTATGTGGAATGGCATAGGAGAAATGAGTCAATTGACTGTGTAAGAGACTTGTTTTGGGCGCACCCGTTTTCTATAGATATTTTAAATGCATTTCCATTGGTTTTACTTATGGATTGTACTTACAAAACCCGCTATTAGAGATTGTAGGTGTGACATGCACATACCTTACTTTTTCAGTAGCTTTCGTCTACATGGAAGCTGAGCGTGAGGATCACTACACATGGGCAATGGAAAAATTAAAAACATTGATGACATCAAGTATCATGCCTAGTGTTATTTTGACCGACAGAGACTTGGCATTTATGAAATCTATTAAGAAAGTCTTTCCCGAAACAACAAATCTTTTATGTAGATTTCATATCACAAAAAATGTCCTTGCCCATTCAAGAAAGTTGTTTGAACTCAAAGAGGATTGTGATAAATTCTTGGCAGCCTGGGGTGTTCTTGTATTCTCTACAAATGAGAGTGAGTATGCTACAAACTTATTTGCTATTGAAAGTAACTACGAAGGTTATCCAAGTCTTCTCAAGTATGTGAGGGATACATGGTTACTTCCATATAAAGAGAGATTTGTAGCAGCTTGGACCGACAAAGTTATGCACTTCAGAAATTTGACAACGAATAGGTATTATTACCATGCCCTAAACTATTTTAAGAATTTCATGAATTCACGTTTTACAATGTTTTTAAATACATTGAACTTTTACTATTATTCTCTCACTTGTGCAGAGCCGAGAGTACACATGCAAAGTTAAAAACATGGCTTGGGTCAAGTCAACTAGATTTTGATTGTTCTTGGAACCTAATCAACTTTTTACTTGAGTTGCAACACACTGAAATCAAAGCTTCATTCCAACACAGTTCGAATGTGGTGGAGCATAATTTCACACCTTCATTGTTTAGAAACTTGAGAGGATTAGTTTCTAGAAAAGCACTAAATCTTATTCTCACAGAGTCTAAAAGAGTAAAAGAAATTTAGGGTGACACTGACTTATGTGGGTGTGTCATCAGAATCACTCACGGATTGCCTTGTGCACATGAAATTGCTAAACATGTAATACATTATAGCCCCATTCCTCTTTCAGATATTCACCCTCATTGGATGCATTTAAACTTGAAAAAATATAAGAACATTGAAAATGTGGCTGAGGTGAGTATTGATTTTGAGATGAACTCAATATAGTCAAGATTTTATGCTTCTAATCACACATGAAAGTTGGCGTTGAAAAGAAAGTTAAGAGAACTAGGTGAGCCGACAACGACAGTCCTTACTTCACCATCTGAGAAACCTAAAACGAAGGGTCATCCTTCATTGAAGGCAACAGAATCAACTCGGCGTGACCCATCGTACTTTGAAATTGTTGAATCGCAGGTATCAAGACAGGATGCTGAACTAAGAGAAAATCTTGTTGTAGCTCAAAAGAAGAAGACTGTTGTTGTAAAAAGAACCAAATCTCTTAAAAAACACTTGGATTCTTTTTCCATCATATTTACATTCATATATCTTAGATATAAATGATGTCAAGCGAGATGGTCATTGTGATTTTCGTGCCATTTCTGCTTTATTGGGTTATGGAGAGGATAATTGGTCAAAGATACGTGAAGACTTAATTGAAGAACTATGCAATCACAGGTCATATTATGTTAAATTTTATGAATCAATGGACCTTGTTGCTGAATTGCTTGATGAACTGTCGTGTTTCGTAGTTCTAGCCCCATACAAGAACTCGATGACTTTACGAGACATGGGTCATTTGGTTTCCTCTAAATATAATGTGGTGCTAGTCTATCTTTCAAAACAAGAATGTAACATATTTCTCCCTCTTCGATCTACTCCACCAACACAACAACATCATAAAGTCTTGGTGATTGGATTTGTAAATAACAATCACTATGTCCAGGTACGTACTCATTGGATACTTTACATGTAAACATTCATATTACATCTTGATAGTTAAACACTTAAACTTGATTCCTTTAAAATGCATTGTAGGTTTCTCTCGATCCTAATGCGCCAATACCTCCCATTGTTCCTCATTGGAAACAATTTCGGCTTGATTCTGCTATAGGATGGGATACCCCATATTTATCCCGTATTAAGGAGTTCAATGACATTCTATCTGCACAACTGAATGTGCGCAGGGATGAAGTTATTATCTTAGATGAGTCATAGCATGTGATATATTATTCTTTTATGATTAATCTACAATTAACGGGAGAATCCCAATTCCCACTTAACTAATTAATCTACATTTATTTTTCAGGTTGAGAAGGTAATGTGTCACGAGGACAAGTTTGGAATAGCGCTGGAAGAAGATAGAACTAATGGAATTTTAGTAGTTAAAAAAGATGCATATTCAATTTAGAAATGTAGGGGCAAATTCATTTGTTCAAGGTTTCAATTCTGAACAAAAAAACTTGTTTGTGAGATCCAAGTGTATTCTATTTTTCTATTAATAATATTTATCAACCTCAACAAATTGGGGTACGTATGTTTTGGTGTTTTCATTACATACTTCTTCACTCTTTTTTTTTAATCTTATTCTAATTTTACTAAGGTTGTGTAGCTTGTATGAGGATCTAATTTTCCAAAGATTTAATCTGCATTGAGTAACACATAATTATATAAAAAATCAGATAGTGAATCTGTAATGTGTTGATACAATGAAAATGGAAATTAATGAAAAAATAGGATTTACGCTAGTTTAAATAGCAAGTTGCATAGAGTAAAAGGAGAACTCCCAAGACAGAACATACCAGTACATTGGTCTTTGCACCACTGCTAACCTTTTCTTTCTCAGCAACAAAGCTCTTTGTTACATTAATATCTGTCAAACCATGAACTCTACCAGTTTTCCTATATCATAATTTCAACGTTTAGCAAAGATCTGTATACCAAGAACTAAGACAGAATCTAAAATAAAAAGGCCCATGTTCAGTGTAACAAAGTACTAGAAGGAACTTTAGCACTTCTATGATTTTACACATCAATTTTTACAGACATCAAACAAATTTCAACAATTAATTTGATAGATACTATGCTCTGATTGTGCACAAGACCTGTATGATAAAGCCACCATTTAAGACTAGATAATCTAATTGAGATGATTAAGACCACCTGATTCAAAAAATATTAATATTAAAAGTTAAAACCATTCCATACACATTAATGTGAACACACCAGAAGGAAAGATCCATATGGATGAATAGGATGAAATAGAATACCTCATTTTTATAGCCTCCCCCGATGCCTTTATAGTCCTTCTCAACCATAGCAGTTAAGTAAGGTTTATGGAAATCCATGACATATAAAGTTTGTTCCGTCATCATCTTAGTGATATCGTCCATCTTCAGGATGGTCCGTCTAATAGGAGGCTGGTCGTGAGAGAAGAATTTGATTCATACACGGTTTCGGGGGTAGAGGATGGTATGATGGCCTTAGCTGAGACATGGCTGGACAGGAACACGATGGCGATTTGACTCTCGATGTTATGGTAGACGACGACGGTGATGAGCTAACGGTGAGATAGATTCAGATCATAGACATGGAGGAAGACGAGCGAAGGCTGATCTAAGTCCGATCCAGTGGAGAATGGGAGGAAGAAGAAGGAACGCAGGAAATGAGTGTACAACTAGCTCCTATTTCGGGATCACGGATGGGGACTGTGTGTATTCTGGAATGGATGGATAGCTGTGTATATTTAATTAAGGGCAAAAGAGATATTTACAAATAATTATTATTTAATTAATTTAATTGGTGGTTGTGTTTAGCCATTTTGTGGCTGCAAATAGAACATCCCACTTCTAATTAGGTGCAAAATAAGAAAAATAAAAGTTATTTGGTTGAGGTTTGCCAACTTTCCTTTTTGATTGTCCCAAAAAACTTTGTGACTTTCCTATTAAAGCACTAATTTGTGATTCTGTTCATTTCTCCCTCCTCTGCACAAACTTTAATGATACAATTTTTATTTTTTTTATTTCTCACCTAATTTAAACTTGATAGAATTTACCGGGATGTAGGTGGTATATACTCCCTCCCTCCCATTGAATTCTTCCAATTATCCTTTTTGGGCCGTCACAAATAATTCTTCCAATTTTCACTTTTGGAAAAAATATGTGGTCACATTCATTTGACCTTTTCCTTACATAACTATAACAATATATTTCCACTTTATTCCCACTTTCTAAATTTGCGAGACAAGTTTGACTTAAGAATTCATTGGGAAGGAGGTAGTAAAATGCAGACAGTGTGTTTGGTTGTTAGCGCCTTTTATGCAAGTTCCAATCTGTCTTCCCGGCGCATAATCGGATATAGTAGCTTAGCCGTTAGCATTTGATAGAAATGTCTATTATAGTTTTTGCCCTCCTCTGAGGCTTTGACTATCATGTTCTTATTAAACGCAGTGAGAATAAAAAAAAAACGCAGTGATAACACTTTTAACGGGGAGTAAAATGATGCTTTTACAATAGTCACGTGACTAAAGTGACAACATTTTAAATCCAAAGTTCATCATCACAATTTCTTTTGTTAAAATTTTTGAAAGACAAAAGCCTCTTTGATATATTAACATTGGATGAATTGGCTATTTATATTGAAATTGATGAATTTCTTGCTGAAATGATTGAATTGATTGAATGTATGAATTATGAAAATAAAATATTTAAAATGTAATTTATTAATAAAATAAGGAAAAAAAATATATGAAAAGTTATTTAAAATGGTTCACTACAGTAACTTCAGTCAATTCGATCAGAAAAGTAACTTCAATCTTATTTATTTTGATTATTACACAATTTAGCACGCTAAATAAAGAGTTACATGTTTGGTAAAAAAATGATTGATAAGCCGAAAACATGGAGCACCAAACGGGTTCTAAAAGTGAAAAGTCAAATTCAAGTATCAATAACGTCACTCACACCATATTCGCATCCAGAGATTTCACGCATTGGCGGAGTTAGAAGGGAGGACCAATCTAGGCCCTCACCTACCCCAAATTAAAAAAATACCTTAATTTTTAAGGTAAAAAATATGTGTAATTTTTTTCCCAAAAAAAACTTTGTAGTGGTCCAATCCAACCATTGCCTAGCTCCGCCCCTGATTCTATGGATTGCAAGATTCCAACAAATCCATTATACTCCCTCCGTCCCCCTAACCTTGTCTCCTTGTTACCTTTTTCGTCTGTCCCATTAAATTTGTCTCATATCATATTTGATAATATCTGGGTGGTTACAACCATTCTTACTTTATTTACACTTTATCAATTCAATATCAACAACACAATTCCATTTTTTCTTAAAAGTTGTGTCACACCTTCTTGTCTCAAACGGGACGGAGGTACTATATTCAAATTTTAATGTTCCTAAGCACTGATAGGAAGAACAATGACATGTTTTTGAAAATTTCACTTAAGTTACCTTAAGAGGGAGGTTGGGTCGGTGGGTGGATGTTAAATAGTACGTAGTACTACCTTGTAGACTATGCCAAATGCAAAATATGTGATAAATAAAAATAGTTAAAATTGTGTGGTTGAGATTTGTGCAGAGGAGAGAGAAATGTGCAGAACCACAAATTAGTTACTTTAATAGTAAAGTAACAAAGTTTTTTAGGACAACAAGAAAAGGAAAGTTAGCAAAGTCCAAACGAGAAGGAGGGAGTAATATGAAGGTAATACACCGGCCGATAGAAGTTTTATATGGCCTAGGATGCATTTCATTGGTCCTAGTATACAATAAAATAGAATTGAGATTATTTTAGTAATTTACGTAGTATACAATAAAATATAATTATTATTAGGTGATTGTTATGGTACCCAGCAAAAATACAAGGGTACGGTACCTAGGATGCATTTCATTGGTCCAACTTAATATTTCATATTTTATTTACATTTAAATTATTCAATTTGAAATTTTTGATTGGTCCACACCTTCAAGGTACGATACCTTGAAGGTACCACAGAAATTGCCTAGGTGATTGCTATGGTATCCAACAAAAATACAAGGGTACGGTACCTAGGATGCATTTCATTGATCCAACTTAATATTTCATATTTTATTTACATTTAAATTATTCAAATAATAATATTTCATATTATTATTGAGAGTCCGCTTGGAAACACTAAAATTGGTTGAATTGATTGATTCTGCTGAAATTTATGAAGTTCTGGCTGAAGTTGCTGTATTTGTTGATTTTGTTGATTCATACAAACATTACATTTAAAAATATTTGTTATTAATAAATAAAATAAAAAATTATATGAAAAATAACTGATGGAGTATATGGCCCGGGAACCCCCGGCCCACAGACTCCTACTACTCCAGCGAAGGCCCAACAGGCCCAGAAGGCCCAGCAGGCCCAAATCACAGCGCCCAGAGTACCAAGCAGCCGCACTACGCGTCAGGGGTGCCTTCGGCCCCCTGGCCGAAGGCTCCAAATTCTCACAGGACGGGTTTCTCAAGCAAATTAAGAAACTAGGAGAAAACGGCGAAAACAGTAGCCCCTGGCACTGTGAGCCCTCGGCACCAGGGTGCCATCGGGTGGAAGAGCCCTCGGCTACTGCTCTATAGCCGAAGGCATCTCACACGACAAGATATCCGCCTCACATGCGTACAGATCACCGTACCCCGCACAGACGTCCCAGCCAACAGCCGCATTAAATGCGGCCACATGCGGCTGCCAGCGCCAACCAGTTGAGGTGACCCCTCGGCCAATGAGCGCTTGACACGTGTCCCTGCCCGGCATTTATTGCTACTATAAATAGCAACCCATTCCCTCATTTGTAACGACGCTAAAACGGCATTCATACTGAATATACTCTCTCTACATTTACTTACTTGCTCTGACTTCTCTCTAAGTTATTCCCCGTAATAACCCTTCGGATATATACCCCCGGGTAGACTATCCATCATTTGGTGCTCTCGTTGAGAGGTCGAACAATCGAGTAAGAAACCCTCCCCCTCGACCAAACACAAAACACTAGCCCTCTATCAAAATGGTGAGGACAACACGTGCCAACTCAAAGAACGTAGAAGACAAGAACCTGGCCCTCGGCGACGTCAACGCCCCCGAAGCCTCTCACAGGGCTCCCGAGGGCGGTGTCATCGCTGGGCTGGAACAGGCGGCTGTCGACCTACGCCTTCAGATCCAACAGAAAGGCCCCGTACTTCCGCCCTCAACCGGCTCGGAGGAGGGCCAGACCGCCGAGGGGTCCAAGACCGCCTCGGGGGGAAAGCGCTCCAAAGGCCCCAGGAAAGCGGGGGATCTGTTTCGAGGGCAGACGAGGAGCGTCCCCCTCGGGACAAAGGCAAGGAACCCCTTCATGCCAATGACGCTCGCCACCAGATCAACCAGGCCCACTCGGCCCGGGTTCGTTCGCAGGGGCGGAGACCCTCCCGAAGGATCCCCGGGACGAGATTATTGCGGCCCTCCAACGCCGGCTTGACGAGATGGAGTCCAACAAAGCTCACGCCACCACCTCCACCCCTCATTCAGATCTCAAATACGAGGCCATGATGGCCAAAATGGAGGAGTTGCAGAAGAAGGTGGCCGAGGGCTCCGGAGAACCCGTCATCCAGCTCCGGACTCGGACGCCATTTACCCCAAGGGTGTTGGCGGCCCGGATCCCGGAGAAATACCGAGGGCAACACATACAGCCCTACAACGGGAAAACGGACCCCCAGGAACATTACAGCAAGTACCAGAACAGCGTGATGATGGTAGGGGCGTCGGATGAATATTTGTGTCGTTGGTTCCTCTCCACCTTAGAGGGGCCGGCATACGAATGGTTCAACAGGCTGCCCGAGGGCTGTATTGATTCATGGCAAGAACTCGCCCAACGATTCTTGACATAATTTGTCGGGAGGCGTCGCACGAGGAAGCACTTCTCCCACCTCCTAACAATACGCCAGAAGAAGGATGAGACCCTCCGGGATTTCCTAGAGCGCTGGAGGACGGAGGCCGACAAGGTCGACGGTGCTGATGACGGGACCCTCCTGGCCCTCCTACAAACCGTCCTCCGCACCGGCAACTTTTCAAGGAGCCTCATCATTGAACCCCCCCGCGACTACATAAGGGCTTTGCAGCGGGGGGACCGATATGCTGAGGCCGAGGAGGTGGAGAAGTATCACCAGCATCCAGACCAGCAGCCCCCGAGGGCTGACAACAAGCATAACCGAGGGCCGGGGGCTCCTCCAAATCACCCAAGGCTTCGGGACCCTCTGATGACCGCCCTCGGCAAGGCCAAGCCAAGCCCGGGGGAGGTTATAAGAGCAACCCTAAGACTTGGGCCCAGCCCATTCTCCTGGACCGTCCTCGGACACCATTGACGCACCCCATCAGCATCATCCTCGATTTTGCCGAGGAGAGGGGCCTTGTTGAGCGCGACTCTCGCGCACCCCCGGAGGTACATGCTATCAACCCTCAGTTCCCATACTGTCGCTTTCATCGGCACCAGGGGCACAGGACCGATGACTGCCATCAGCTAAAGACGGCCATCGAGAGGTTAATACAAGCGGGGCACCTGTCCCAATTTGTTCAGAGCCCTCGGCAGGAGGGACCTTCTCATCAGGGGCCTCCCCGAGGGCACCACACGAAGGTGAACGCTTGGGTAAACCCGAATACCATCCCACTCGGCAAGAAGAGGGAGATTGGGAACTTGGAAGAAGAGGAGGAGGAATACCCCCACTACCAGGAGAAAAAACGCCACATCCTCATGATCACCGGTGG